ATTCAACAGAAAACTATGATGTGGGGTCAAATTTGGTTTAAATATCTAAGCCTATTGTAAGCATGGATCCAAGTTTTCAGTATGTCATTTCATCTGGTAGATCCCATACCCCATACCTGCTATTGACAGGTGTTGCGGCATTAGAGGTACAAGTTTACATCATAATGTACAGCTCAAATACCAGTATGAAACATAAAGTGGTCATATATATATATATTGCTTGGTTGCAATAATAAACTGTCTGTACATACATTTAACCAGTTAAATAAACAATGTTACACTCGTCCGTTATTGATTATTTTTGTCGGGGCGTTGCTTGAAGTGATACATTATTATTTTGCAAAATATTTCCAATTTTGCTAATTGTTCCTAGTTTGTTAGAGTGAAAAAGCTGATTCATTTTGTGCATATTCGGATTTCTACAGAAATAACTGTTAATAATTATATATATATTATCACATAGATAAATAAAAACAGAATGCGTTTTTCTCCAACATGTTTCGTTCTTTACTCTTCAGGGAGATTGTATCAGTTACAGTATGACGTCATTACATATATATTGTGACGTCACAATAGGGTCAACATACTAGAGCGACAAGGTCACAGCTTGCAATGGTTTAACATTGGTTTGAACTTGTCTATGAAGTAGTGTTCTTTTAAAATTCGTTTTACTTTGTCCAAATTTTGAACTTGATAAAAGGAAATATTGTAAATTTAACATATATATATATTCTTTCTTGGGCCAAAGTAGGGCAAATAAACAAAAGGTTAAATTTGAAAAAGTGACCCGTGCTATGATTTGCAAAATGGTTGATTGGTGCCATGAAAACCATTGTTATGGTTACTCGTGTATCAAGTGCATAAGGGTTAGCTTAAAGTAAGTGGCTGTTTTCCTTAAGATGTGTTACCATATCATTATTTATCCAGTTTTAAATGGATACAATTTCAAATTATAAATCTACGTTTCAGAAAATTTGCGATTTTTGTGATCCTTAGCAAAGTGTGAGTAGTAGTGAGTGAGTGAGTTATTAGTTATTAGTTATTATTTCACGTCACATCGGCAATATTTCAGCCATATCGTGACGAGAACATATGTGACATCGAAATGGAATATATGTATATCATAAACAGTAAAACAACTTGAGTATCACAATTACAATTAAAACTAGTGTGGAAATTTACAATGAATCATATGCCCATGAAAGGTGGGAAAGAGTCTTTGAAACACATTATGATAACACAATGCTACGAAACTTATATATGATGCCAAAATCGATTTACAATATGTAGTAATTTGATGAAGATCTTATATGATATTATACATAAAAAAAATCTTCTTAAATAAAATCAGTCTAAAAGACACTCCTATATGTACATTTTGCTCAAAAGAATTAGAAAAAATTGTCCATCTATTCTGTAGCTGTTGTCATGTTAAAAAGATTTGGGAGAGTTTGACTAATGACTGTAACGGAAGGCAACATCGACTTTACACCAGAAAACATTTTACTTTTATTTAAAGGGGGAAATAATAATTCTTTAAATGCAATATGTGTTGTTGAGAAACAGGTAATATATACACAAAAAATAAAACAACACGTTCCAAATTTCAAGCACGTAGTAGGGGAGATATAAAAATAGTATGAAATTACAAAATATAATGCTTACTCTACATGCAATAACAGCGAGTTCTTTACCTTCTGGTCATCTTTCCATAATCTATTTACTGAGAATATTATGTCAGAAAACATATTGCAAGTGTATTCAATCAGTATTACCATGATCACCACTATTGGACACACAGAGATAAAGTATGCAAACATATTAAAAGATATCGATGTATTGCATGACGGTGATTTGTGAAAGTATATTGAGTACATGTATATAGTCAGGATCTACACGGCTTAGGTAAAAAGGTGGAGTTCACATTCATCCCCGCCCATGTCGGTGTGTTTAGTAACGAAAATGTCCACCAAACTGCCAGAAGTGGCATTCAAACTCCCAGAAGTTAACTTAAACATGCCATAAATCAAAAGACTATCAAAATAAACCTCTTCCCAAAGTTGCACAGTAACTGCCAAATGCAAATATTAAACTGAGAAATATACTCAAAAAGCTTAAAACATATCATACTAACTTATACATGAACCTAACTGCCAATGAGCTTATGTACATCATTCATTGCAAACACACCTATATCGCCACTGACGACCGTGACCATTTTGCCCCGCACTGAATAGAACCTGCGATCTGATGGAACATATATTATTTATAGCAGCTTATGTTCACGATTCAATAAACAAGAAATTAGCGGTGCATGTTCTGAGCAGGGATTTTGGCTCGGAATCGAAAACTCACGATTTTCCGAGCTTCCAAACACCATAGCTTCCAAAGTATGTTTTCGATTTGGGGGCTTGTTTATGTCTCATTTTGTAGGCAAATCCATTTGTTTGAAATGCGTGTATAGTTTAATATGGGTATGTACAGTGAGCATTGTTGAACTTGTCGTGAAATGAACTTTGTTTTGACCTTGTTTCACCCCTTTTTTGTTATTCTGAACTGCTTGAGAAACGTATCACCCTATCATCATTGATCATGGAATAAGAGGAAGGAATTTAGAACCCGAACTATGCCTGAAGGAATATGACTATGACGGAACAACGAGATGCACACCGAGAAACACGTGATCCACCATTTTGCTGAGACGTTTGTCTACAGGTCAAGTGGCCAGAAGGTTTAATTGTCAAAATTGTTCAAAATCGTCAGGTTATCACAGCACCTACGACAAACTGGCAAAACGTGGTCGACCACACCCAGGGCAACCATGTGTCACGACCCCGGCCCGAGATCGTCACGTCGTCCTCACTCATTTAAGGAACAGGTTCAAGCCAGCATCCAGAACAGACACTACCATTACGTCAGCTAGGACTGTGTGTGCGTACATGTTCTCTTTACTGAGTCCAGATCTCATCTCAGTCAGAAGGATGGTTGGAAGGATAAGAGTCCGGCGTCGACTTGGAGATTGTTGACTTCAGCAGCTGAACCGCTGGGTTTGTGGAAGCGTTATGTGTTGGGGAAGGATTGCTACAGTAGACATGGCTGGACACGTCTACAAATCTGTTACTGTTACAGCTTAAACATATACAGCGGAGGTACTACGAACAACAGTCGTTCCCTACATGGCGGCAGCTCAGCTTCTTCACATTTAGCAGCAGGATAAAGCACGGCCCCATACTGCTGGACATGAAATGAACTTTCTTCAGCAAAACAGCTTCCTGTCCTGCCGTGGCTGGGCTCGACGCAATTGATGGCCATACCCATTACTGACAATGACTGTGTGGAAGTTTTGAGCGGGCGTGAAATTTAAGTTTGACCCCCTTCAATGTTGTCGTTAATTTATGGCACTAAATGATGAATGACTGCCTTTTCCTTTTCTTATGTTTCCATCTTGATTGACAGTTTCAGTGTCAGCAGTGACAAGTTTTCGTCATTTATCACGGAGATTAAACGTTTTATTCCGGTGGTGCGTTTCTAAAGTAGTTCAGTATATATCTGAGACCTTGATAGTGACAATATAGACCTTGATGACAGTTATTTGAGTTACAAGCTCATATGACAACAAACACAGTATGGTGTTTCAGAGTTCACTGGATACCAACACACACCTAACATCAGTCTTCACCCACTAAACCAAACCTTCAATGCCTTAGGTATATTTCTAATTAAAACTGGACTCAGAAAATCCCACATAACCAACTAGTACCAATGTATCCCCCACCACTAAGGTAGTTTTTCTTTGATGATGACGTTTCTCATTTTGTGAGTGAGTACGGTTTAACGCCGCTTTAAGCAAAATTCCAGTAATATCACGGCGGGGACACGACAAATGGGCTTCACACACTGTACCCACGTGGGGAATCGAACCCGGGTCTTCGGCGTGACGAGCCAACGCTTTAAACACTAGGCTACCCCACCGCCCCTCTCATTTTGTAGTTATTTTTGGATGTTTGTATTTTATATAATGTCGTTATTCTCAGATGTTGTAAACGTTAGGGAAGTAGTGTTTTCTAGTGTGAGAATTAAGCAGCCTCCCAAAACACTAATTTGGTGTACTTAGTATGATGTATTGGAAATATACAACACTTGGACGTGGACTATCGTTGTTATTTTGTAAGATAAATGAACAATTATTTTCAGTTTATGATGTATAATCTATTTTTTGTTCATTGTTCTTTTGTTGACTTTTTTTCAATTACTGCTAAAACATATTTTTTAGGCCAAAGTGGGTAGGTGTATAAGACAATATGACATAACATAACGTAAAATAGGAAAGTTTTTTAAAAACTTTTTAAACGTCCATTTATCTGTTTACGGAGATAATCCATGGATACGCGACTTTGCTATTGTGTTCAATGGCGAAGTTATAAGACTTAACTATATCTTTCTGTTTAATATATGCTGACATTTTACATAATTCATCACATGGGACTTTGGCGCCATTGCTGCTGGTATCTGTAATTATGATACAGGTGTTTTGTGGTAAACCTCCCTCAATAAACTAACACGCTGTGAAACAATTAAAACACAGTTCAAAGCGGCAGTACACTCCATTGATGATTCATCCACTTGTTACTAGCGATGTTACCAGATACATAATCACGACTATATAGGTTTTGCGTGAAATTCGTCACACCCCAGTGATAAAACACACCACAGGTTGTGGTTTTGAACTGTTTTGTACTAAAGTCACATTATTGTAGACTTGTTTATGAAATCAGCTAGAATATTTCGTTACGTAATACAGAAAATCAATCGATCAATGAAATGAAAATACATATTTTTCACAAAAAAGGATGTTAATTTGATTTACCATACCGAGACATCAAAAGACAGCAGTAGGTTGGACAGTATCAGCTTTTGAAAATATTGCATCCGTGTGATGGTTAAGGACACCAAACAAAAAAAAACGCACCTGCAAAAAAATCAAACAAAACAAAGTATACCTTCGGTATTTGCACAGATTCCGTATTCACCCAGTTTGCAACCGACTGAAGATTAGTCGGCTTGGTAACTCCCGTTTCAGTATTCCTTTCACACGCTCCAGAAAGTACATGGTAGTTAAAAGATTTACAGAGGGGCTCGACGACACAGAGAAGAGCACACACATCAACAGTTGCAGTGGTGTCATTGATGTAGGTATAGTCAGTCAACCTTTGACTAGACAGGTACCCCATGTTGCCACTGACGCCAAAACAAGACAATTCCGCTACAGGAACTCCACAGAATAGTACTCCAAGACTAAGCACCCACATATCCCTGTCTCATGTGAAATGGCTAAATGGTGTACATCCGAACCACCCTAAGGAACTTGGAAAAAGTCATCCAGTTTGAAGTGTGTATAATCTGCAGGTGAGAAATGTTAGACTAACAGAACACCTGAACAGGTATCTAAAGCTTCCATCACAGCGTCGTCGTGTACGAACAATGGGAACAGGTTCTGCTTGTCTCATTAATAATCAATAGCAGAAACGAGGCATTGTAATTGAAGCATATGACAAATAGAATTCATCCAAAGCGTATTGATAACACTGGGCAAACGATGTTGATCTTAGAATCTCTTTACACTTCTCAAGGATGTAGCGGTGGCTGATTCAGACCAACCTTTTTTAACAAACACGTGTTTAATTGTACATGAGTGTTAATTAAGCACAAGGCAGTTGTTCATCTGTTGGCCCAGACAGGCTGCCATGCTCGGATACTGGATTGCACTTGTACAGCAGGTACTCCACACAAGATCTCAAAAGCTATGGGTAACACGTTCAATACTCGGAAGGCGTCATGCACATTGGGGAATACATTTCATAATATGTGCAGTATGCACACTACAATTTTTCTGAACTGATATAAAGACCGCAGCTGAAAACATGCACTTTTCTTGACATGGCAGACTCAGACATTTCAGAGTATACACGATGGCAGTACGCAGGGATGTCCTATCGTGGCATCAGTGCTGATTTGAACACTAACAAGGTTATCAGTGGACCTGCGAGGAAGCACGCGGTAACCAATGAAGTGAAGGGTCGTTCAAGACCTGGAAGACCGAGGAAGACCAATGTTTGTGATGAACGTGTCCTAATTCGTCTGGCAAAACGCAATCCCATGACCCGTTCAAAGAAATGTTCTAACTCTCCACCAGTGCCATCAGATTGAGCATGCGGGCTGTTGGTCTGAGGTAACGTCGTCCGATCAGACGTCCCTTCATCTCAGACAGGCGCAAACTTGAACGTTTGGCGAGGTGCGGGCTCCGAGAAAACCGCAACCCTAGTACTCGGTCAATTGGTCTAATGAGAGATACTGTCTTCTACTGACGGCCGTTGACGCGTATGGAGCTGTAGTAACGAGGCATATAACCAGTAGATGATGCATGATGTTGAACCCTTTGGTGGTGGCTCAATGATAGTATGTGGTTGTGTTTCATATCACTTCAAGTTGGAGCTCATTACAGTACTTGGGGCAGCCAATGGTCAGCGTTCTTTACAGGATATGTTGTCGTGTCACATTGTGCTAACCATCACCCTGCCCAGTCATCCGGCATTCGTGGATGACAAGGCTTGACCTCGCCGTTCGCGAGCCGTCATCGTCCATTTGCCGAACAACGAAATCGAAACATCACTATTAATAATAACTGATTGACTGTTTAAAAGTCGAGATGTCAGCTAGTCATTTCACAAGAACTACGGACAGCCAATATGGCTATGGAGAAGAAATGAAGTTAAATCGGGTTTTGCGGCTGGTTTATGAATAATGACTTATATAACGACTTCCAGGCAATCATGTCAAAGATTTCCATACCATATGAATTTGTGAAAAGAAAGGGTTGAGGAGAAACATAGACAAGATTGCCATGACATAATCTGGTTTATTTCAAGATTGTACAGGTTAGCAAAATGGCGTCATTTTATGCCAAAACATTACGAATTTCACTTTTTTTTTCCCACAGACTAAACTGTCAGTACCATGCACATGTCTTGATCCTGGAATTGAAGAATAATGTCTTGCAAGTCCAAATACTTTCACCAGTATCTCCAAGGCTCTGGACAATAAGTGATCTGTTGCGCTTGTTCTCCTTGACCAATCAGCAGCCTTTGATCTGGTTAACCACGATATACTGTTCAAACGCCTCCAGTACAGCTATGGTGTAACAGGCAATGCTGTGTTGAGGCTACAGTCATAAATGAGTCAGAGAACACAGTGTGTCTCAGCAAGATCGGCAGTGTCTGGACATGAAGGCTTGAGCTTTGGTGTACCACAAGGATCGGTATTAGGACCTGTCCTCTAATCAAAGGCTATGGGGAGATCTGTAATTCTTATTACATGCACTATCATGTTTATGCTGATGACAAGCACATCTATAAGGTCATCCATCCCAAAGATGATATCAAGTCTGCTATGGTGAGGATGAAAACTTGTGTGGAGGAGAACTCTGACTGGGCTTGTGCAAACTTGTTGAAACCCAATGATAATAAAACAGAACTGTTTCTTTACAGACCCAAAATCTGCAAATCTGAGTGTCCTAGACATGAGTTCCAACTTGGATCCAGCAACATTCAGGCTGCTGACTGAGTGAGAAATCTCGGCGACCAGGTTGACAAGTATCTTACGATGGAGAATCAAGTAAACGCTGCTTCGAGGTCTTGCTTCCACCAGACCAGAAACATCAGTTCCATAAGACAGTATATCATGATCACGGAGCAATGTTGTAAGACTCTGGTTCACTCGTTGATCACATCCAGACTGGATTATGCCAATTCCCTTCTCTATGGAGTCCCCCAAGCTGTGCTGAGTCGACTACAAAGAGCTCCAACAAGCCACAATGCTGTGGAACAAGCTTTCACGAAGTCAGAGAGAGGATCAACAATCAACACCTCAGAAAAGGGCTCAAAACACATCTATTTGACATTGCCCATGCTCAATGATGTGTTTATCATGTGAAGCGTCTTAGAGTGATCAAGAAGTAGTTCAAACATGGCGTTATAAAAATGTGTCATATTATTATTATTATCTCGTGTAACCTCCCTGCGCACGAACAACTGATTCAAGACGCCTCCTCAATCCTTGGATCAGTCTCGGGATTTGATTCTGAGGAATCCTGTTCCATTCCTCATGCACAGCAGCAGTCGATTAATTGAGAATCTCGACATGTGGGTCTGTCCTACAGATGCCCAATGGGATTCAGATCTGGACTCATGGCTGGACATGGTCTCAACAGCATTCTGTTGCAAGAACTGGGTGACATCTTCAACATCACACATAGCCCTGTGTATCAATAAAAACATGATGTTGGGGGTTGCACGTGCATTGAATATCCCCAGACAAAAAATCATGCTCTACTATAGGACTGTTGAGGCCATATGCTCCTCAAGATGTATGGGGGATAAAAGCCTAATACAGCAGGATGCAAAATGTTAATAAATCATTCAGTAAGTACCATCTTTCTCATGTCCGGGGATTTCTTTCATGAAGCAACCTTTACTGAGGTTAACCTTAACTCTCATTCTTAAACATTGCACTAAGGTTACCTTAGTGGCTTACGATCACCTTAGTGCTTTGTGAAAGGAGGCCCATGGTGCCGTTGTACAAAAAAACCTTAGTGCTAAGACTACCTTAGTCCATGTTAAGGTATGGGAGCTATGGTCAGCTTAGCGCTAAGATTGCTTTGTAAAACGGCACCCAGGGGAAGACGCGGTAGGGGTTCCAGCCACAGATATCCCGCTTTCCAGACAGACGCCCCACCCATTAAACTACGGGGGAGGTTCAATGACGTTAAAACGACATTAGATCATTTTGTGACAGATTTTAATGATACATTTGGAAACACGTGCATTAACAATGCATTCAGATAGACATCTTCTATTGTTAGGAATGTGCAAATGAGATGGGAAAATCACAGAGGTGACTGTAATACTGTATTTGATGACAAATTATAATGATATGACTAGAATATGAGTATTCTTTATTTCAGTATTCTTTAAATAAAGAATACTGACTAGAATATGATTTTAATCTGCGAGTCAGGCAGGTAAGCTGAAACTGAGATGCTATTTTTGGTACAGTTTGAATTCTGGATCCGTGTTCAAAATAATCATACGGACAAACATAATAATGATATGAATATAAATGGCTATATCGGGGTTACTAATCATAGGTTTTGCAAAACTTTTTCCATGTATATCTAAATGTAAATTTTCACGTTGAAACACACAGTGTACATTCACCGAGAAATAATTCAGTGTAGAAAACATCATAGTGCGACACAGTTTGCACGTCACAGTCACTCGCAAGGAGAGGAGATGTAAAGTGGCTGGAATCAACTTGTCACTGGCATTGAATGGCGCAATCTGCAAACAACGAAGAGAGTTCTATGGATATACCACTTCTTTATTATTAATATGAGCGACCTTCGGTGTAGCTACTAACACCGTTTTCAAGCAAGTGATTTGTAGCTGCACTGAAACGTCGCTCATATCAATAATAAAGAGGGGCGGTTGGGTAGCCTAGTGGTTAAAGCATTCGCTCGTCACGCCGAAGACCCTGGTTCGATTCCCCACGGGTACCCGTGAAGAGCCACCTCCTCGTGGTGGGTGCTGGGTAACGCTAAGCGCTCTTCAACCCCCTGTAGTAGACCCGGGGGTATATTTGGTCCACCAACCCGTTTGCCGTGGGTTGCGCCCCTGTGTCGGTGGAGGAAGGGATTCTGGTGGTTGAGGGCATAGGAACCAGGAACAGTGTTCCTATTGCCCAACACACCACTTCGGCCCTAACTTCACCTAGACGGGTGGTTGAATGGGCCCGGTTCAACCAATCGGCTGGTCACGCCAAGCCCTGAACATTAAATTATGTAATGTTGCACAAAAGTTTGAAAATTGTAACATACTATTTTTAAGTCTTGACGAATTTTTAGAACTTTAGAATTTCAAATACACACTTTCATTTTTTTGCCTAGAGTCGTATGCCCAGAAGGCGGTGGATCATGGGCCGATCAGGTGGAATAATTACTTTTGTATTATTCCGCTTGAGTATATCATCCAGGTATCCCGGGTGCTGCAGGCTGGAAACCCGCCTGTTTTTAGCATTGTCCTTGTGATACTCCGTGGAGGGTGGGGAGCTCGGATGATGAAACAATATAAACTTACCATGGCTTACGAAACCTCCCACAAAAAAACAAAACGTCCTCTTGAAACTACTGATCGTGATGTTAACGACCAAAGACTGTCCACATCCATTGATTACTGGTCACGTTTTATTGTAATTGAGACCATTGACAATACTCCATTAAAGCTGAACCCCTTCGCCGTATCAGAAGGCATACAAGGCATTGCAGATGTCAGAAACGTTAAACGTTTACGGAAAGGTTCTTTACTTGTTGAATGCAGTAAGAGGCAACAGGCAACCAACCTCCTGTCAACTAAATCCTTTGTCGGCATTCCCGTATCAGTCTCTGCCTACCGAACGCTTAACACCAGCAAGGGCATAGTGAGAGACCGAGACCGA